GTGTAAACCGAGGTCCGATGTCTCAGTAGGTGCTGGCACGAAAAAGATCCCTCCCTGCTCAATGCCCCTGAGGGCCGAGCATCTCCAAATGAATGAAAAATTCTCGAGAGGGACGTTAAACAACATATATTCAAACGAGATAATATACTGTCAGGCAAGTTGATGAAACAAGCATATCAGTATTTTCGTTTAAAGTAATCATTTCGTAAGTTCTATGGTCGATACAATGACCTTGTCAGAAATACAATTTATCATTGAGCTAAATCCTGACGGACGTTTTTCAAACCAATAGTTAGTTTATTTATACACTGAATTGACGACGGGTTTTTCTGTTATTTACTAATCATGACAAGGAGCACACGGCAGGTGTGACAGGCCAGCAGTGAATGCTCACTTCTCCATGGCGCCTGATCCCATCTCTGATGTATCGGGGGTCCGTGTTTGCTCTGCTCCTGCTTTGTATTGTTGTATGGACTTCGATATTGAATACTGTTCGTTATCTCCATATCATTCTTCCTGTAAATTTAAAATGGAATTCCATCCAAGGCAAAGAAGATGCCCAAGAAAGCTTCGGGAATTTTCTTTTTTATCCTGGAGGTCAGTTGGTGGAAAATTATTTTTTTACTTTATTATAACACTACAAGTGACGCTTTGAGTTGGTTTGCTATTTATAGCTTCTGCTTTTGCCCAGATATTTACTTTTTCTTTTCCCTTTTATTCTCTCCTCAGTGCAGCATTCTGTATAAAAAAAAGTAATGTACTGCAGATATGTATTCAATATACTGTTTATTTTCATCCTTGGGGAAAACAGGGCGGAGGTTGCAAACGACTTTTTCAGTATTGAAATTCTGAACCGAAAATGATGTACAGAAGATACTGTTCAAAACAGCATAGGGAATTTTTTTTCTTACCCAGGATGCCAATTGCTTTTAATTTATTACATTACCTTATTCCGAATCATTATCGCTTGACTCTATGGCTTTCAGCGCTTTTCTGTATCTCTTCCTTTATCTTCTTCCTTTTTGCTCTTACTTCAAACTTATTATTAAACTGTTTACGTAGATTCCCTGTATTTTAGTGAGGATTCAATTTTGACATTTTTAGCGAGGTATTAGGATCACAAAAGTATATTATGACTAACAATTAATTCCATCATTAGATGTTATGGTCATCATTTAAGCAAAAACACAAGGCTAAAATTACTTCTCATTAAAAGTTAATACATATTTTGAAGGGCAAATAGCTAAATTTTCGTTTTGCGTAAAAATTTTACTATTAAGGTAGATCACATCAGAAGATAAATAAAAGTGTCATATTTAATTTTTATCACCTTTTATTATGCTCGCCGCGTGACGTAGTGGTTAGAACGTCTCATCTAGAGTGGCGAAGTAGTTTATCCTTACGTCGCGGGTTCAGATCCTACTGTGGGACGCGGAGACCGATCTCTTGGATGACCGTATAAACCAAGCTCTCGTGTTGCAAATAAGTGCTGGCATCCCTCCCTACTCTATTGCCGTAAGTGCCGAGTACAGGACAACTTTTGTAGATCTTCACCAGCAATCGACTCCTCATTTTCCTTCATGACTTTCTCAAACCCTTGTTGAACTTATGTATAATGACATGTATACTTATGTATATTTGGTTTAAGCGTCATGACATAATATCAAATAAATACTTCTTCTACTACTTACGTTTAAGCTCTTCATTTTCCTTGATTGTCTTCTCCATATTTTTTTGCGTGCTAATTTTCAGTTGGGTTTCTTTCTTGTGAATAAAGAAAAAAATCATTGTTTGATGCATATTTCAGCAATTTTTAATGATACATATTTACTGCACTCTTTTTATCTACTTTAAATGTAATACTCATACGTTATGCATGGATTAGCTGGGGTTTAAAGAAATAAGTCTATGAATCATTTAAATGTAACTCCCCAAATATTTTATTTTTGTAAATGATATTATTAAAAATTCGTAATTTTGTTGCCTTTAATCCCCCTTTCCCCCTTTTTCCTACGTAAAACAACGTTGTGTGTTAAAAAAATTAAACATGGAGAGAAAATTACCTAATAATGTAATGGGTCGGAGTCGTTACTCAGCATGCCTGGTATCATCGCCTCTATGACAGACCTGAATCTGGATCTTAGTTATCTTCTCTTTGTCATCTTTTAATTTTTCCTTGAGTTCATTTATCTGTCAAAATCAGTGTTATAATGCAGATTCGTGTTAATTGAACTGTTTAAACATATTCATTGTAGTTAACTGAGGATTCAATTTTGCTATTTTAGCGAGGTATCAGGATCACTAAAGTTTAATATTGCTAACAACTCATTCCGTAATTAGATGTTATGGTTATCAATCTCCATATCCTTCTTGCTATTAGAACATTTTGGTTCCTGAGCCTATGGAAGATGTAGGCATATTTGAAAGGGTGGTAAATGTAGGCATCCTTGATGGTGTGGTATAAAATATTGACAGTAGTGAAGGAAAAACTTCAAGAGTACTGTACAACTATATATTCAAGAAGTGGAGTAAATCAGATGTAGAAATCACAAGCTTCCAACAGCATAAAAACTTACGAGAAGGTGGCTTTTTGAGACAGCTGTTCTTCAGGGATCCTTGAGGGAGTTAAAACAAATTCTGATTGTACACATAAGTACTCTGAAGTTGACATCAAGAAGATGCTTGAGTTTCTGATTGACAATATCTATGTGGTTTTTGGAGACCAGGGGTGGTACAAATTGCGCTCCGTTATTAGCAGACTTATTTTTATATTCATATGAAGGAATTTATGCAAAATCTTTTGCGTGAAAAGGAAAAAAACACTTGCTGTGGCCTTCAAACATTCATATCGACGACGTATTGTCAATTAATGATAATTTCCACAAAATATCTGTACGTTTCTGCTTCATACTTGGATATTTTAAAAAAGACACAAATGCTAACAACCAAGACGTGATGACTGCTTGCTATACCTAGAACATTTTATATCTCAGGTTCCGCAAGAGCATGGGATTTCTTAAACGAGGTAATCTATTGACAAGCAAGTTGATGAAACAAGAATGGTGGTGGCAGACCTTGTCAGCAAATACAATTTATCATTGAAAAATTGAAGTTTATGTCCATTATTTATACACTGAATTGACTACTTTTTTCCGTTATTTCCTGATTATGACAATGAGCACACGGCGGGTGTGACCGGTCAGACTGTAGGTTCTTATCTCTAACTATTGAAATTATCTATTTTTCCGAAAATACATGTATATGTATAATAGTTGCTCAAATCGGTAAATTATATGTCACACTATCTCACTGTGAGAAGAAAACTTGAAGTATATTTTTAGGGCACCATGTGCCATGTTCATTTTAAATAAAACTAAAGCTGTGGGAGGAAAAGGATTTTTAAAGCATTTCACCAAAATTTCTATTTTTAGTAACCAGAGCAACACCGTTCATCGAAATCGAAAACTGATGCATTAAGTTATGAATCTTGATGTAGTCAATTTTTTTGCTAAGTTATAATGTAATCAGTCCAAAACTGTAGGAGTTGGGTTTTACAAGAATTTCACCGAAATTTCTTTTTTTAGTTAACATTTCTTTCTTTCTCAATTCTTTCTTCGATGATTGATTGATTATTGCTTTTTTACGCCGAGTCGGTAATATTTCAGCCATATTTCGGCGGAGTAATTTAAATACTGTATAAACGGTTTTGAAAGTTTTGGGTTTCTCTGGCGGCCCTCAGTGAGCCTACTCTTTTTCGAACTCCAGAGAAACGATCTTTTGCGTGCCAAGGGGGTTGTTATCCTTGACACGGGGCACCATTTAACGTCCCATCCGACGGACTTTGAATTTAAAAATAAAAAAACAGTTAAATACAAATATACAAAGATAACAATGTTTATAAAAATATTGACATTTAAATCTTATTGTAAAAATCTGTATCCTGCAGGTATTGTAAAATAGCGCTAGGAGTTGCATTTGCAAAGATCATGCATCGTTTTTAAACCATAAAAAAGTTTATTTCGAACAGGTGTGAAATCAGAGGTCTATCACTTCGCTTTCAGCTTCATCTCTCTCTGTGTTTGGATAGACATAGATTTTTTTTGCGCCAGCACCTACTGCGACACGGGGCCTCGCTTTATACAGTCTCATCTAAGGACTTGCCCCCGTGGGGACCCGGGGTGACAAGAATAGGTCCCTGGCACCTCCTTGCATGTACATGTATGAAAAAAGTGACTAAATGGAGCAACCTGTTAGCCGTGGGTTGCAACCCGTGTTGATAGAGGAGGGGATCCTGGTGGCTGAGGTCTGCAGGTGCTTGGTGTAACGCACCTGTTTGACCAACACTCCACTTTGGCCCCATATTCATCTAGACGGTAGGTAAAGTTTAGCCCGATTTGATCAAGCGATTGGTCACGCGCCGAGCTGATTTTTATTGACATGCCTTAGTATTGATGTATTTGTTACCCTTTTGTTATTTCCTGATTTTTCCTGACAAATTTCCAATACGCCGACGTTTCCATTAAAATATATGTATATCAAGCGGTGGCTTACGGTCAATCAGATATATTTTATGTCTGAGTATAGTTTCTTTGTATCCTCTCGGTGTCCTTCTTACTGGATATCCATTTGATTTGACACTGCCCTTGTTGGCGCTCCGTGGCGGGCGGGGAGCAAGGATTCTGAATTGTATTCATAAAACCATGGCTTCTACTAAAAAAAGTTGTTACCCATCATGTTTAGAAACCTCTCTGAATGATGAGCAGATTTCTTCAGTTTTAGAACATTGGCCCCGCTTTATCACACTTGAAGCACAATTATCTGAAAACTATACAAAGCCTTTGACAAAAGTGTAACCTTTTGTAAAACAAAAAGGTATACAGGGAATCATAGGAAAAAAAGCCCCGAGTGCAGTCCGGTCGGTGTCAGTGTAGACTAGGTAAGGGAATGGTGTTTCCGCAGGGATGCGGAACTATTGTTTTCTGTTAAATAATAAATAAAAAAATAGTTTCATAGTTTAATCAAAATTTCAATGGTTGCAAATTGTGACATCTTGTTTACGTGCTTGTCCACCAGCTCATATAAAATATCTATTGAAGTGTCTTGTCTCCTCTTCAGACCCTTTACATTTGTTATTCACTAATTGTTCAACAATCTCCTACAAACAAACAAGATAAAGTAAATGGTTCGTGGTAAAATGGTGTATGGTACCTTCAAAGAGAGTCTTTGGTCTAATTTTATATAAAGGGTACTGTGTCTACTGTTTATGGGTTCTGTTTCTACTGGCTATGGGTTCTCCTTTACCCATGCCTCATCCATACATTCTTTTTCTAATTTTATGGCATCCCATGCCATGGATTTTAAAATGCGCGGGAGATTTATTCTATAAAGAATTTGTAAACTGCAAAAATGAATAATAAATTCCTCCTAAATTAAAATTATTATATATACTAATGGAATTTTAATTTTAAACATTCATATCTAAATCACCGATTCTCAAGTTGAACTACACAGGTACACTTCAGTTGTCCTTTACTTCACTTCATTTATTTACGAAATCTCATAATATAAAGTAAATTAAAAGTATAATGCAAATTACAAACCTTTAACCATGCCTCCTCCATTGATTCAAATTTGATGGCATCCCAAGCCATGCTTTTCAATATTCGCTCCATTGTGCAACTAAAGATAACAATTAAGTCAGATTAGTTATCTACAAAAAAAAAATCTTTCCATTTGACTTTTCATTCTATTCTACGATATCCATGTATTACTTTACACTACTCATTGTTTATTCACCATGTGGGCATTTTATACTACTCACTTCTCAGGAGCATTGGGAAATAGCAAAGTTTTAAATTCACTCAGGAAGAAACTATTATTTTGGGTGGTTTCATTGCCTTGAGAATTGGTTTCCTTCCTCAGATAAGCATAGAGGGGAAGTAGTCTCTCCTCGCCTAGTTATTAACAAGTCAAAAGGATTCAAATGAGTAAACAAAAACCGCATGTACTGAATAATCATTTTGACTTAATAAGCAATCAAATGTCAACAAATCTATCTTGTTTGATTAACAATAAACAATCTTGTTTTAAGTTAGAAGAATAATTACCTGTGTCCCTTTTGGCAAACGCCTCCTCCAACAGAGCCCCTGTGATGGCCCTGCCTCGATTTTTTTTTTCATAAGTCTCTCCACTGCTTGATGTTGATGCGTGGAGTGGAATACAATTAAAATAACAAAATTTTTATCGTTGTAGTCCATGGAATCAGTAAACTGTAAAAATGAAGATTAAATTCCTCCTCAATTAAAATTATTATATATGTTAATGGAATTTTAATTTCAAACATTCATATCTTAATCACCGATTCTCAGGTGGAACTACACAGGAACACTTCAGGTGTCCTTTACTTCACTTCATTTATTTATGAAATCTCATAATTTAAGTAAATTAAAAATATATAGCAAATTACAAACCTTTAACAATGCCTCCTCCATCGATTCTGATTTTATGGAATCCCACGCCATTTCTTTTATTATTCGCTCCATTGTGCAACTAAAGATAACAATTAAGTCAGATTAGTTATCTACAAAAAAAAAATCTTTCCATTTGACATTTCATTCTATTCTACAATATCCATGTATTACTTTACACTACTCATTGTTTATGCCCCATGTGACATTTTATACTACTCACTTCTCAGGAGCATTAGGGAATAGCAAAGTTTTATTTTCACTCAGGAAGAAACTATTATTTTGGGTGGTTTCATCGCCTTGAGAATTGGTTTCCTTCCTCAGATAAGCATAGAGGGGAAGTAGTCTCTCATCGCCTGGTTATTAACAAGTTAAAAGGATTCAAATGAGTAAACAAAAACCGCATGTACTGAATAATCATTTTGACTTAAGAAGCAATCAAATGTCAACAATCTATCTTCTTTGATTACAATAAACAATCTTGCTTTAAGTTAGAAGAATAATTACCTGTGCCCTTTTGGCAAAGGCCTCCTCCAACAGAGCCCCTGTGATGGCCCCTGCCTCGATGTTTTTTTTCAAAAGCCTCTCAACTGCTTGTTGTTGATTTGTTGAGTGGAATACAATTAAAATTAAAAATTTTTTAACGTTGTATTCCATGGAATCTGTAAACTGTAAAAATGAAGATTAAATTTCTCGTCAATTCAAATTATTATATATGTTAATGGAATTTTAATTTTAAACATTCATATCTTAATCACCGATTCTCAGGTGGAACTACACAGGAACACTTCAGGTGTCCTTTACTTCACTTCATTTATTTACGAAATCTCATAATTTAAGTAAATTAAAAATATATAGCAAATTACAAACCTTTAACAATGCCTCCTCCATCGATTCTGATTTTATGGAATCCCACGCCATTTTTTTTATTATTCGCTCCATTGTGCAACTAAAGATAACAATTAAGTCAGATTAGTTATCTACAAAAAGAAATCTTTCCATTTGACATTTCAATTTATTCTACAATATCCATGTATTACTTTACATTACTCATTGTTTAATCTCCATGTGACATTTTATACTACTCACTTCTCAGGAGCATTAGGGAATAGCAAAGTTTTATTTTCACTCAGGAAGAAACTATTATTTTGGGTGGTTTCATCGCCTTGAGAATTGGTTTCCTTCCTCAGATAAGCATAGAGGGGAAGTAGTCTCTCATCGCCTGGTTATTAACAAGTCAAAATGATTCAAATCAGTAAACAAAAACCGCATGTACTGAATAATCATTTTGACTTAAGAAGCAATCAAATGTCAACAAATCTATCTTCTTTAATTAACAATAATAAACAATCTTGTTTTAAGTTAGAGGAATAATTACCTGTGCCCTTTTCGAAAATGCCTCTTGCAACAGAGCCCCTGTGATGGCCCCTGCCTCGATTTTTTTTCTCAAAAGCCTCTCAACTGATTTCTTTTGATGTGTTGAGTGGAATACAAGTAATATCAAAAAATTTTTTACATTGTATTCCAAGGAATCTGTAAAATGTAAAAATGAAGATTAAATTCCTCCTCAATTAAAAGTATTATATATGTTAATGGAATTTTAATTTCAAACATTCATATCTTAATCACCGATTCTCAGGTGGAACTACACAGGAACACTTCAGGTGTCCTTTACTTCACTTCATTTATTTACGAAATCTCATAATTTAAGTAAATTAAAAATATATAGCAAATTACAAACCTTTATCAATGCCTCCTCCATCGATTCTGATTTTATGGAATCCCACGCCATTTTTTTTTATTATTCGCTCCATTGTGCAACTAAAGATAACAATTAAGTCAGATTAGTTATCTACAAAAAAAAATCTTTCCATTTGACATTTCATTCTATTCCACAATATCCATGTATTACTTTACATTACTCATTGTTAATTCCCCATGTGACATTTTATACTACTCACTTCTCAGGAGCATTGGAAAATAGCAAAGTCACTCAGGAAGAAACTATTATTTTGGGTGGTTTCATCGCCTTGAGAATTGGTTTCCTTCTTCAGATAAGCATAGAGGGGAAGTAGTCTCTCATCGCCTGGTTATTAACAAGTCAAAATGATTCAAATCAGTAAACAAAAACCACATGTACTGAATAATCATTTTGACTTAAGAAGCAATCAAATGTCAACAAATCTATCTTCTTTGAATAACAATAATAAACAATCTTGTTTTAAGTTAGAAGAATAATTACCTGTGCCCTTTTGGCAAATGCCTCCTCAACAGAGCCCCTGTGATGGCCCCTGCCTCGATGTTTTTTTTTTTCAAAAGCCTCTCAACTGCTTGTTGTTGATTTGTTGAGTGGAATACAATTAAAATTACAAAATTTTTAACGTTGTAGTCCATGGAATCTGTAAACTGTAAAAATGAAGATTAAATTCCTCCTCAATTAAAATTATTATATAGGTTAATGGAATTTTAATTTCAAACATTCATATCTTAATCACCGATTCCCAGGTGGAACTACACAGGAACACTTCAGGTGTCCTTTACTTCACTTCATTTATTTACGAAATCTCATAATTTAAGTAAATTAAAAATATATAGCAAATTACAAAACTTTAACAATGTCTCCTCCATCGATTCTGATTTTATGGAATCCCACGCCATTTTTTTTATTATTCGCTCCATTGTGCAACTAAAGATAACAATTAAGTCAGATTAGTTATCTACAAAAAAAATCTTTCTATTTGACATTTCATTCTATTCTACAATATCCATGTATTACTTTACATTACTCATTGTTTAATCTCCATGTGACATTTTATACTACTCACTTCTCAGGAGCATTAGGGAATACCAAAGTCACTCAGGAAGAAACTATTATTTTGTGTGGTTTCACTGACTTGAGAATTGGTTTCCATCCTCAGATAAGCATAGATGGAGGGGAAGTAGTCTCTCATTGCCTGGTTATTAACAAGTCAAAAGGATTCAAATGAGTAAACAAAAACCGCATGTACTGAATAATCATTTTGACTTAAGAAGCAATCAAATGTCAACAATCTATCTTCTTTGATTACAATAAACAATCTTGTTTTAAGTTAGAAGAATAATTACCTGTGCCCTTTTCGAAAATGCCTCTTGCAACAGAGCCCCTGTGATGGCCCCTGCCTCGATTTTTTTTTCTCAAAAGCCTCTCAACTGATTTCTTTTGATGTGTTGAGTGGAATACAATTAAAATTAAAAATTTTTTACATTGTATTCCAAGGAATCTGTAAACTGTAAAAATGAAGATTAAATTCCTCCTCAATTAAAATTATTATATATGTTAATGGAATTTTAATTTCAAACATTCATATCTTAATCACCGATTCTCAGGTGGAACTACACAGGAACACTTCAGGTGTCCTTTACTTCACTTCATTTATTTACGAAATCTCATAATTTAAGTAAATTAAAAATATATAGCAAATTACAGACCTTAAACAATGCCTCCTCTATCTATTCTGATTTAATGGAATCCCACGCCATTTTTTTTATTATTCGCACCATTGTGCAACTAAAGAAAACAATTAAGGTTTCGTCAAAGGGCATCATGTCCAAAATTTTATTTTTACAATAGCCTCAAAAGTATGTAAGGTATAAAGTTAAAACTTTTACAGTTTATAAATTATTTATTGGTTAACAGATAGAAAGTATCAGTTGATAAAAATAAGACTTGGAATAATATTAATTGAGAAAAATTCTTCTTAAAAATGCATATAATTTCAAAAAAATAGACCTAATTAATTCTATGCTTTTAGTGAAAACCATAATTGCAGAAACAAAATATGTTTATCAATGAAGGGGGAGTTGAACTTGGATAGCCTCTGTAAAGTTGTTTTCCTTGTTTATTTTGTCCAAATGTTAAGACTTGAAAGTGAAAGTACACTGCAAATGGCGGATTCTATAGGGGTCTTGTCTTTATACATGCCATGCTTTCAATAACAGGCTTTCAGAGACCATTCATGTCCAACTTGCCCTTCAATGATAAACATAAATTATATCTACAATGTTGGTTTTCACAAAAAGGACAGAATAAAGCAGATGCATTTTTTTAAAATATGCACATTTTCTGATACAATTTTTCTCAAAAAATATCTTTATGAAAATATTTGTTATCATGTAATACTTTCTATCTATTAATCAGTGATATATTTACAAAATGTAAAAGTTTTGACTTCATATCACACAGAATTTTGGAGCAATTGTAAAATTAATTTTTTAGACATGTTGACCTTTGACGAAACCTTAGGTCAGATTAGTTATCTACAAAAAAAAAATCTTTCCATTTGACATTTCATTCTATTCTACAATATCCATGTATTACGTTACACTACTCATTGTTTATGCCCCATGTGACATTTTATACTACTCACTTCTCAGGAGCATTAGGGAATAGCAAAGTTTTATTTTCACTCAGGAAGAAACTATTATTTTGGGTGGTTTCATTGCCTTGAGAATTGGTTTCCTTCCTCAGATAAGCATAGAAGGGAAGTAGTCTCTCATCGCCTGGTTATTTAACAAGTCAGAAGGATTCAAATGAGTAAACAAAAACCGCATGTACTGAATAATCATTTTGACTTAAGAAGCAATCAAATGTCAACAAATCTATCTTCTTTGATTAACAATAATAAACAATCTTGTTTTAAGTTAGAAGAATAATTACCTGTGCCCTTTTCGAAAATGCCTCTTGCAACAGAGCCCCTGTGATAGCCCCTGCCTCGATTTTATTTCTTTTGTGGCTCCACTGATTTCCTATGATGCGTGAAGTGGAATACAAGTAAGATCAAAATATCTTTCACATTGTATTCCAAAGAATCTGTAAACTGTAAAAATGAATAAGAAATTCCTCTTAAATTAAAATAATTATATATATTAATGGAATTTTAATTTTAAACATTCAAATCTTAATCACCGATTCTCAAGTGGAACTACACAGGTACACTTCAGGTGTCCTTTACTTCACTACATTTATTTACGAAATCTCATAATATAAAGTAAATTTAAAGTATATAACAAATTACAAACCTTTAAAAATGCCTCGTCCATGGCTTCTAATTTTATTGCATTCCAAGCCATGCTGTTTAAAATTCGATCTATTGTGCAACTATAGATAACAGTTAAGTCAAATTAGTTATCTACAAAAATCTTTCCAACTGATATATGATTCTACTCTATAATATCCATGTATTACTTTACACTACTCATTGTCTATTCCCAAAGTGACATTTATACTACGCACTACCAATGTAGGGACATTGGGAAGTAGCAAAGTTTTATTTTCCCTCAGCAGGAACTATTTTTCCCTCAAAAAAATATTTCAGATATCGAAGATAAATAGTAATTCAAAAATAATTTGATACATATTTTCCTTCATACTCAATATTGTTCATCCTATTTGATGAAGACTACAAATGTCTGACTTTGTCTTTAGGTTTGATGTAGACTACAAATGTCTGACTTTGTCTTTACGTTTGATGAAGACTGCAAATGTCTTTGTCTTTAGGTTTGATCAAGACTACAAATGTCTGACTTTGTCTTAACGTTTGATGAAGACTACAAATGTTTGTCTTTGTCTTTACGTTTGATGAAGACTACAAATGTCTGACTTTGTCTTTAGGTTTCATGAAGACTAAAAATGTTTGTCTTTGTCTTTACGTTTGATGAAGACTACAAATGTCTGACTTTGTCTCTACGTTTGATGAAGACTACAAATTTCTGACTTTGTCTTTACATTTGATGAAGACTACAAATGTCTTACTTTGTCTCAAGGTTTGATCAAGACTACAAATGTCTTACTTTGTCTCAAGGTTTGATCAAGACTACAAATGTCTGACTTTGACTGTAGGTTTGATCAAGACTACAAATGTCTGACTGACATTACGTTAGATGAAGACAATGAATGTCTGACTTTGTCTTAACGTTTGATGAAGAATAATTTGATACGTATTTTCCTTCATACTCAATATTGTTCATCCTATTTGATGAAGACTACAAATGTCTGACTTTGTCTTTAGGTTTGATGTAGACTACAAATGTCTGACTTTGTCTTTACGTTTGATGAAGACTACAAATGTCTTTGTCTTTAGGTTTGATCAAGACTACAAATGTCTGACTTTGTCTTAACGTTTGATGAAGACTACAAATGTTTGTCTTTACGTTTGATGAAGACTACAAATGTCTGACTTTGTCTTTAGGTTTCATGAAGACTACAAATGTTTGTCTTTGTCTTTACGTTTGATGAAGACTACAAATGTCTGACTTTGTCTCTACGTTTGATGAAGACTACAAATTTCTGACTTTGTCTTTACATTTGATGAAGACTACAAATGTCTTACTTTGTCTCAAGGTTTGATCAAGACTACAAATGTCTGACTTTGACTGTAGGTTTGATCAAGACTACAAATGTCTGACTGACTTTACGTTAGATGAAGACTATGAATGTCTGACTTTGTCCTTAGGTTTGATCAAGACTAAAAATGTCTGACTTTGT